ACACACACACACACACACACACACACACACACACCCACACACACACACACACGGAAACACACAAAGGCACTTTACATTCAATATGCAAATTGAAACAGAGGTTCATTTGTTGATGAAAGAGGATTCATGCTCAGCTTTATTTTAATGGTTTGGGCATGACAACATCACGTTTTATAACAAATCTGTCTCCACTGAAATAATAATGACCTGAGGTGACCCTCGGCAGGAGAACCTGAAAATATGCTCACACTGTCCTGCTATTGCTCTGGGTATTATTTACTTTCATGTTATTAACACAAACACACACAGGATGGCACAATAAAAAGGTGTGTGGGTCAAGCAACAGGGGGCGGAAGTGAGCCTTTCCAGTTTCACCCCAGCACAGTGAGGGTGCGTACGTGCATGAGTGTATGCGTGACCTCGCTGCAGTTTGTCAAGTTGTGTTTACCCTCTGCCAGCCACAAACAGTTCACTTATCGTGGTCACACAAAACTCCATCCAAGTAAATAATATTTCATTGATGCCAGATGCTCTGATAGCTTTCTGCAGGGGATTTCACCTGAAAAGGCCTGACTGACCTGATGGGGGAAATTAGAAATGCAGAGGGGGTTTAACCGAGCGGCAGCGTGGAAGCTCCGTTCAATATAACAGCAGCAGCAGCAGCAGCAGCCCGGTACTGCATTGCGTTCCTCACTGAGCAGCTCGCTCCAATTAAAGACTGCATCTACTGAGAACGTTTACTTTATCCAGACTACATGGTACCACATTAGGTAACTTAGACAATTCAATGAAATAAAATATAGGAGCTGTTAAACATGTTATCTTTCAAATTACAATACTGATTATTATTATTGACTCTGTCCAAGTTGCTCTGCAAAAAAAATAAAAACAATCTTGGTTTCAATCCATACATCCATTTTCTATGTTATCCTGTCCAGGATCACAGCGAGTTGATGCGTATCTGCTCTGGCTCTGGGGGAATGGTAGACTACACCCTGATCTGTTCGCTCATAAGTCACAGGAAGCATACAGTACATACAACTATAACCACCAGTAACTTCATCCTTGATTCCATCAGACAGCAGCATAATTTAGTACACCGATGTGAACGGATGGAACCCGTGAAGAGTTCCAAATAACAGTCAGTTTTGACGCAAAGTATTCAGATATGCTGCCAAAAGTGTGGGAACCCATATCCACAAAAGACAGACTTCAAGTTTTAGAATGGCCCAGCCAAAGCACAGACCTAAGCCAACTGAAAAGCAGTGGTGTGAACTAGTAAGGACTGTGCACAGGAGATGAGAGATGTGAGAGTTTGACATTTTTGGAGTGCTTTGGCAAGGAAGATTAAGTAATTATTGCCATGCTAATTGATGGACTCCTACACAAGAAAGTGACTGGAGAAGAAAAAAGGAAGACCGCAAGTTAAACATTGTAAGCAGACTCCAGACTCGAGTCCCCAAGGAGTGTCCAGCGTATTTCAGTACCATGTCAGCTGGAGATGACACAAACAATGACGAGCTGACTATCCGTGACCACGTGGATGAATGAAGTGGTAGCATGAGTAAAATGAGTGAGGCTGAGGAGAGATTCAAAGCTAGGTGATGAGGTTGACTGCAAACATTAGTCACGACTTGGTTGGCTGGTTGTTGTCCACGTCCCTTGTTTAAAAAAAAAAAAAAGTGTTTTCAAGTCAAGTACAACTTTATTGTCAAATGCGCTGTATGTGCAACATACAGCACAGATGAAATTTCTTCCCTCTCAACCAGACAACAAGAGGAGCCGCTGCGGGTGCCCGCGCCGCCATCGTAAGAACAGTTAACATAAAATGACAAAATAATACAACACAACACATAAGACACAGACAGTCGTGCAATATTAGCCACTTTTCCTGCATACACTTTCTTGTTTGAAGCAGTTATCGGTGAAAGAGGAGTGAATCAAAGTGCCCTTTTCACCAGTGGATCAAAGACTTCATGCTGAAAATGTGCACACGTCTACTACAAGCTAAGTTTTGTTTTTACTGTTTTGGTGACATGTGACAACTGAAAAAAATGTCATGATTAAATCGTATGTGCTTTAGGGTAAAACTTATTTGACTTCTTTTTATATGTAAGGTTATTTAAGGTTACAGGTATTTTTCCCTTCCAAATTAGTTTTGTTTAGTTTTTATTTTCATTTGATATGCTCTGGTTATGGGTTATTTTATTTTTTTATTATTTTTGTTCTCTCTCTCTCTCTCTCTCTCTCTCTCTCTCTCTCTCTCTCTCTCTCTCTCTCTCTGTCACTCACTTTATTTATGTAGTTATTTATTTTTTTATTTTACATCCCAAAAACGTGGTGCGTTCCATTGTAGGACTTATGGGAGCATTGTGTTGCAATGCATTGTCTAGGCTGACTACCATTTGCCACTGCAGGCTTAAACCCAGTATAAATTACTGCAGCATGCCACTGTTATGATTTCCCACTAGGATGTGTGCCAATGCACGCCTCTTTGACACAAAGAGTGAATGAAGCCTTTCCCTACTGTTGTGTGCCACCCCCCGCACCCAGCCACCACCAAAATAGCTGCACCAGCATAAATATGACACTGGTCTGCAATGAGCTGACAAAGCTGCACCACTCTCCTTTTATTTCATGAGTATGAGAATAAAGATGTAAAGCCAGCATGCATGGACGGGGCGAGGGGGGTGTCAGCAGTCGGGACAGCAAGCCATTTAATCTCACTATATGACAGCATGCAGGACGGGATAGGGGAATGGAGATAGATGAATTGATCGTTGAAGGTTTTTCCTCTGCAACCCACAAACACACACAACGACCCAACATCGCCTCTGCTTCCTTCCCCTGCCCAGTGGATGAGTTAGGGCAGAGAATGTTGCAGGAGAGCGAGAGAGAGCGATCGAGCGAGCGAGAGAGAGAGAGAGAGAGAGAGAGAGAGAGAGAGAGAGAGAGAGAGAGAGAGAGAGAGAGAGAGAGAGAGAGCGACTGCAGCATCGCCAGTTACAGCAGTAGTCCTGAGCAGTGCAGGTGAGGGGGGGGGAGCCAAAGAAGGAGGAAGAGGAGGAGGTGCAAGTTGAAAGAGAGAGAGAGCGAGAGAGAGAGAGAGAGAGAGAGAGAGAGAGAATGCGGGACTCTTAGAAAAAGACGCATCTTCACTCGGTCCATTACCGACATCCCGAGCAGAGTGCTGGCGAGGATTAACGCGTAATTGATGCCCTTGCTGGGATCTCCCGCTTTAGCTCGTCAAGAAAGGCGCTAAATTAACAGCCTCGCTTGGTTACTTTTTAACCGTTAGCATTAAATAAAGTGGCTGCGGGGAAGCTGGTGTCCCCTTCCAAGTTACGCGTCGGATTCCAATGGCTTGGCACGTTGCTCCGCCACTGCGGGGAAAGAAAGCGAAGGCATCCGCCGGCTCCTAAGGTAAGACAAGAATCTCCAGGACCCCCCACCCCTATCCCCGCTTCTTGAGTGATTTTAAATTGGAGTTGTTATTGGTCCTTCTCTGTGCTGTTCATGAGTAGGAAGCGCAGCTCGCCTCCTCTTTGTGTGGAGTGGAGGTGCTGCATTGCAGTTTCGGTAAAGTGAGACACGAGAGAAAAAGCTGATGTCCCATATGTGACTAGAATAATGAAAAGTGGCGACTATCACACAACTGTAACATTTGAGTGATGCGTTAGTTAATCATAGGTTTCTTTCTTTTTTTTTTTCCTCTGCAGCACGTTGGATTTATATATATTAATATATCACTCGGTTTGAAAAGCCCATCAAGAATAGGACTCAGTCGCAATAGAAGTTGAAGAGACAGGAGGAGAGTAAAGGAAGTAACAAGACATCAGCAGCAAAGAGTGTTGTCAGTCAGAAGGGAGAAAGAATAAATCCAACACCCACACTGTGGGCTACAATACATCACGAAAGAGCTATAAAGAAAGAAGAGGCAGGCCTGCCAGTGATTTGAGAGACAGAAAGGAGAGAGGCTCGCAGAGCAGGACGGAGCCATGCATAGACTTGGCGCAGTGCACTCCTCGGTGCAGGCTTTCAGCCTCGTGGTCTTAGTGCTGCTGCACCTGCTGACTCAGCTGCCCGGTGCACGCTCAGCTCTCCGGTACCGGGTAGCGGAGGAGGGCCCCCCTGACGTCAAGATAGGCAACGTGGCCGCAGACCTGGGCCTGACGGCGGGTACGGGCAGTGGGGACGTCACTTTTGCCCTGGAGAGCGGCTCTGAGTTCTTCAAGATCGACAATGTGACCGGTGAGCTGACAACAGGGCAGAGGCGCATCGACAGGGAGAAGCTTCCCCAATGCCAGATGATTTTTGATGAAAATGAGTGCTTCTTGGACTTTGAGGTGTCTGTGATTGGCCCCCTGCAAAGCTGGGTGGATTTGTTTGAAGGCCGTGTAGTCATAACGGACATCAACGACAACACTCCTTCCTTCCCATCACCGGTGCTCCAGCTCTCAGTGGAGGAAAATCGTCCAATTGGCACGCTTTACCTGCTGCCCACCGCTACAGATCGGGATTTTGGGCGAAACGGTATCGACCGCTATGAGCTGATTCAAGAAGGTGCAACTGGGTCGAGTTCGGCACGACGCACAACGGGAGCAAATCCCATTGGTAGAGTCGATGGGCTCAGTGATAGAAGGGGTAGGAGTGGAGATAATGTGGGAGGAGCCAGGAGCACTGTGTTTGAACTCCAAGTGGCAGATATCCCAGATGGTGAAAAACAACCTCAACTCATTGTCAAGGGTACATTGGACCGCGAACAAAAAGACTCCTATGAACTGATCCTCCGGGTTCGAGATGGAGGGAACCCCCCAAGATCATCTCAAGCTCTCCTTCGGGTTTCTATCACAGATGTAAACGACAATAGCCCAATGTTTGAAAGGCCCACTTATGAGGCGGAAATGGCAGAAAATGCACCTCCAGGAACACCAGTACTCCAGGTGAGGGCTTCAGACCGTGACATCGGTGTGAACGGGCAGGTGGAGTACGTCTTTGGAGCGGCCACAGAATCGGTCAGGCGCCTGCTGCGACTGGACGAGGCAACCGGTTGGTTGAGTGTTCTTCACAGGATCGACAGGGAAGAGGTGGCCCAGCTAAGGTTTACGGTCACGGCTCGGGACAGGGGTCAGCCACCACGCAGTGATCGAACCACAGTCATTTTGGCAGTCCGTGATGAAAACGACAACGTCCCAGTTGTAGAGATTCGAAAGATCGGACGAATCCCAGTGCGAGACGGAGCAGCACTGGTACCTGAGAACGTTCTGGTGGACACGCCAGTCGCTCTGGTTCAAGTTTCAGACCGAGACCAAGGAGAAAATGGAGCTGTGACCTGTACAGTTGTCGGAGATGTCCCATTCACTTTGAAGCCTGCTGGTGAAACAGCACTCCCGCCCTTACCTGCAGATGAAGCCTTTGACAGGTGAGTCAGAAAAAGTAAATCCTTCATAAACAAGGAGCTTAATTGGTTCCTAAAGATTGAATCAAATTATTCTTACAGGACATTACAAAAACTCATTAGGCAAAGCAGTAATAAAGCATTCTGAGTAATGGGGATGAAAACGATACACCACAACAACTGAGAAAGAACAAAACCGATATGGTACAAGTGATCGTCTTCACGTTGTTGCTCCAAAAAGTGTCTGAACAAATTCTACGTTCCACAGAGAATCCACAGAGGAAAGTCTGAAGTGTTGCTTCATGCGTGTTCTATTTTTTTTTTTTTTTTTTTTTTAATTCAGCTCAATTCAAGTAACCCGCTCATTCACTAAAACGGGCAGAGTGGATAAAATGTCACGGTATCTGTAAATCTGGTTCATAAATATTCATTGAAGTCAAGGGTTTTTTGACTCATTTAGTAGTATTATTGCAACAAGGGCATACTCCAAATGTCAGCGCTTTCAAGTCAGTTGTAAAACTATTTTCTGAAGACATTGACGAGAGAGTGAGGAAAAAACACAAAGCAACGTGAGCAAACAAAACTATAGCGACCACAATACTTGCATTTCTAGTGTTACAGTTATTATACTGAGTTTTATTGTCTTTGACGAGAAACACGTGTAATAATAAGTCAGGGAAAGAAGCTCAATAATTATACTCTTCTACAATTATCCCTTGAGGTTGACTTGTTGACTACAGTTACAAAACAACGTGAATGTAAGCAGTCAACATACGGTACAATGGAATGTGCATTCTTTTAATGAGATCTTGAAGAGGACTTAAAAAGCACCTTCATGCATGTACTGGATACGACATACATATAAACAAATATGTATTGTATTGCATTGCGTAAATGTATCCTTGACTTTTTTATTCACAGGAACAAGAAAAAATTCTTCCTGCATACCTCAGCCTTGCTGGACTACGAGGTCACAAAAGAGTACAGCGTCACTATTGTGGCAGTCGATTCTGGAAGCCCCAGTCTTTCCAGCAACAGTTCACTGATGGTGCGAGTTGTCGATTACAATGACCATCCCCCAGTCTTTGCCCAAAGTGTAGTGGAGGTCCACTTTGCAGAAAACAACTCTCCCAACGAGAGGGTCGTCACTGTTGTGGCCACAGATGCAGACAGTGGCAAGAATGCAGAGATTGCTTATTCACTGGATCCGGTTTCTAATGGGCCCTTTTATATAGATCCGGATAACGGCGATATTCGTGCCACCGGCGTGCTGGACCGAGAGCAGCGAGAGAGGTATGAACTCAAAGTCATTGCCAAGGACAAGGGCACACCTCATTTGCAAGGTTCAGCCACTGTTGTTATTCAGGTGACCGACCGCAATGACAATGCGCCAAAGTTTGTCCAGGAAGTTTTTACGTTCTATGTCAAAGAAAACCTGCTTGCCAACAGCCCAGTGGGCATGGTCACTGTGACGGATGCTGATGAAGGTGAGAATGCAGAACTCACCCTCTTCGTAGACATGGATGGTCTGGACGAGAAGAAGTCAGGAGAGAAGAGTGCGGGAGAAAACGGGGAGAAAGAGCAAGAGGAGGTGTTCTCCATTGAGAACAACACAGGCACCATCTTCTCCACTTTGTCATTTGACCGTGAAAAGCTTTCCACCTACACCTTCCGCGTACGCGCTGTGGACGGAGGAGAGCCGCGCAAAACCGCCACAGCCACTGTGTCACTTTTTGTGACCGACGAGAATGACAACGCCCCCTCCGTCACATCTCCGGCCAATGATTCCTATACGTTGCTCCCACCTGCAAGTAGTGCCCGCACGATAGTCAGGACTGTGACAGCCATCGACTCGGACACCGGCCCAAATGCGGACCTTCACTATGCATTGGTTGGGGGGAATCCCTTCAGATTGTTTGAGATCGGCCACTCCAATGGTGTAATCACACTGGCAGAGCCACTGGAGCGGCGCCACAAAGGTCTGCATCGCCTGGTGGTCAGGGTCAATGACAGCGGGGCCCCCTCGCTGTGCGCCACCGCTCTGGTGCATGTCTTCATCAACGAGAGCTTGGTCAACGCATCCCTGGTGGACGCACAGGTAATATTTTCATGGGATTATTGCACCTACACCTGCACAGGAAGATTGTTCAAGTAGGCAGAACTTGAATGAAAAGAATCCTAATTGGAAGAGGCAATGATCGGTCCTGTTTTGGTTTGTGCAGATCGTTCTACCGAGATGGTAATGATAGCCAGACATGATTCCGTCCTCTTATCCATTCCAATAATGGCTACACTGATATCGCATTACAAAAGAGGCGGGCACTAATTAAAACTGATTGTAGCTGTTTAAACTAAAGTGGGAAGGCGATTATTTTCTTGCTAGAATTAAATAAATGGATTCTCCACCCCGGGTTTGCAGTTTTCTGACCATTTTTAGGACTTTAATTGTGTCTACATTCGTCCCAGATAAAGAATCACGTTTATCTTTTGAGGACTATTGGCAGCGCTGATTTCTTTGTTGTTTGAATTCAGCAGGAGTGCGTTCTTAGTCCAGTATGACTTCTTATAATGACTGCGTAGTTAAAATAACAGTTATTACTGAAGTGGCTTTTCGTTTACGGTACATTGAACGCAGAGCTGAGGGAAATAGGTGTGTGTGTGTGTGTGTGTGTGTGTGTGTGTGTGTGAGAGAGGGATAGAGAAAATGACAGAGCGAAAGCATTAGCAGTGATATTGTGTTAGAGGCAGACAGAGAGCGACTGACTGGCCCAGTTTTGGCCTCCCAGAGTCTGTTGAAGTATGTTCATTTGAATGGAAGCTGCACTTAAGCAGGGTAGCTTCGCTATAGTAGGGCCTGAATATTGATGAGGTTTAGGCGTTTCTGTTGTATCATGCCGCACACGCTGTGCTTTAGTATTCCGACATGAAAACAAAGTACCTGAGAACAAGGTTTAACGTTAAATAAGTCATTTTACAAGGGGAATGAGAATATGAAGAAACAAAACATCTGCACTTATCAAAACGTGTGATCTTGTGGAAATAAAAAGTTGGCTACAAGAACAACGAACTTGTAGAGCAAATTGACTAGACAAAACAGCATTATTGTTACACGAGACACAACTACAGCAGTCCAAATTAAGGTTGTGTACAGCTGGTACAAACCACATTTTTCCTCCCCGGTCCTCATTATATTAACAAAATTCCCATCCCATTATGCTTGAAAAATGGCTCAGTTAATCTACAAATGCTGAAAAGTAATAACCACAAAAATTTCCCTCTCTGGTGTGCATCAAGTAAATTGAATTGACTAGTAATTGAATTGGCTCAGGGGCTGCGTGGTAACATTGTATGTTCCAAAAAGCATGTTGTTTTATCCCACCAGGTGATCTAGTTTGGAGAGGGTTTTTTTTTTTCCTCCAAAGCAAAGGTCTCCAACTGTCAGGTCTGTACATTTCCAGTGAGGTGAACAGAGCACAAGTAAAATGGCTTGGAGGCATTTGAAAGGAAAAGGACAGTCCCTGCAATCGCATTGGACTTTTGACTTAATGTCCCCCGATTTACTACATAGAGATTTAACAATCAATTGTTTTTTTTGTTTTTGAGATATTTTAATGGGATTGGTGAAAATTGAATTTTAGAGCAACAACCGAGCCAAAAAAAACAAGGCATAGTAGAGAACTTTGTATTTGGACACGAGCCAGTCCACCTCACTATTATGAAGGTTTCACTCAAGAGTAGAAATTGAACAACAAGGCAGCCCTGTGGGCAATTACAGCCCGACCATTTGGAAAGTGTTCTAACAGCAGTGCTGACAGGAGGAATATAAAACGATGGGCCTAAATGACTGGGACCATTGAGTCCAACAATAGGTTATAATGTGTCCAAACTGGTGTCAACGGTGTCATTGATTCTTATATATGCATAGTTTAGCATTATTGAAGGGAAGTCAGTGAAGAGACAATATCGCCATCTCATAATGAAGTCAAACAGTGGTGGATAGTTGCCAGTTGTAATTAGGTGGGGAAAACACCTACTAGAGCCGTGGCATCTTGACAGGAAATTGGTGTTACTTTTTTTATCTGCAATTACTGGTGCTCGCTAATTGGCAACAATTCAAAGATGCCGTCGGAGCCACTTATTGAAAGCATTTTTGTCATGGTACAACTTTAGCATCCTTTATACGTCAGACTTGCACCGTTTTGTAAATATGAATCGAAATTCAGAGATCATGATGATGATGCGGATACAAGCAGGGGAATTTCCATGTAACTCTGTGTTGTGTTAAAGCATGAGTGTGAAGAAAAAGGCCAGTTTCACATTTCAGCAGATCAGTAAGAATGCCGATTTTATATGAATATTTTATGGAATACCAAATGAATGGGACCCTACGGGAAAGCTGAAAGAAATTCTTCAAACACACTCAAATTTAAAAATTTGAGTGCCCTGACATGTAGTACATGTGGCCAAAGACTTCAGTGAGGTAAAACTCAACACATTGATCTTTCAATGGTGTAATGTGTGAAACAATGTTTGTTGACCTCAAGTCTGAGTAGCGTTGAAAAAAACTTTGAGACGCCCAGCTGCATGGAATAATATTAGTAACATGATATATACACGAGTCGCTAAGACTAGCTAACCGGTGATTGATTTCATAGGCGTGTTGTCGAAGCGATCACTTGGAAATGTAAAAACTTGCAGAATTTTATCGATATAGTGTTGCAATTGATAATCATCCGTGTCTAACGATAAATTGTTGATACATATGAGAAATCGTTATGTAGCCAATGTCAATGATGAATTTTAATTTATTATTAATTAAAAATATACAATTGAAGGTAATTTAATCAAATTGCAGAAATGTATATTGCACCAAAATATAAAATATAGTCAATAAATGTTAACAAGTAAATTCAGACTGAATGTCTTTAATGTCTCTAATGTGATATAATTTTCCTGTAATAGCAAAAATAGTAAAACTTTATTCCGATAATATTGCTGTCTTTCCTTGCCGTGTTATGGCTGACATTGTTTTTGTTTCTGTGTGTGCGGCTTAGAATATAGCTCCACATTTCTGCGTGAATGCCTTTTGTGCAAGGCTTCTTTATCGTTCATCATTAAAAGAAGTGGTACTTGACACTAGCCTTGGCAGAGGTTTTACACTTTACACGTTCCCCACCTGGATAATTAAGTGATGAATAAATTATAACAGCTGACGCCTCCAAACAGAAGCTCTCTTGCAAATACGTCCAGCTCCAACTGAGTTCTAATTTGGAATCAATAGCGTGGCCAGAAGAGAATATGTCATGGCCCCAGCATCATTCGAATCAGTAGTGGGAATCGGATCATTCTCAGGAGAGCGCAAGACGTGCAGTATGTAGATACTCATGTTAAGCTAACTTGGAATCAAGTTCATGTAGTAGAAGAGAAGATTCCTTTCGGAGTTGAACATGGATTATGAGCGACAGGCTTGAATATACTGACATTCATTCTAAGTTTTGAACATGTTAAAAATTTCTTGGCGAGAAGAAAAATTCTTTGCGACCATTAAAACTGTTGACGAATATCTGGCGAAAGTCTTTGCTAACGTTTGCCGCTCACTGGGATGGGGGCTTTAGCACAGTAGCACTCACGGAAGCATTATAAGTATTACTCGGGAAGAGTTTTTTTCTTTTCTCGGGGGTTATTGCAAACCCTGGACCACACACTCACCTTCACCCTTGCTATTTCTGTAATTCACTCCCGCCGAGTCTTATTATTAAACCGCCAGAATGTTGCAGGGATTACTTGAGTATATCATTTCCAGCCTTGACAGGAGAGAAGAAATTGTCATATGAGCTTCGAGACTACATGTCAGGGCTGCATAATGAGGTGTCTAACGAACAGACAGCTTACACTGCCTGAGTCATGTAAGTGCGGACATATATATCAGCACGTATCTCTGTTTTTCTCAGTTGTCTACGCAAAATGATTTTCTCAGCGTTGCTTTACTCATATTGATCAGGTAGCTTCAGATAAATGATTAGACGAGCTGAACTGCAAAAGCTCATTGTCACCGACAGAGCAAAGGGCCATAACCGGTAATAAATGTGTTTCTTGAAGCAATCATAGTAGGAGAGTTGGGGATGATGTGTGTGCATTGATATCAGTGTCGACCATAACTGGAAGGTCACAGTCTTCAAATCATGTTTTAAGTGTAAGAGATATTGATTCAAATAGCCTCACATCAACAGCAGGAATACATTGCAGCCTTACGCATCACTATCCTTCCAAATTTCCATGGAAAAAAAGGATAACAAATCTTGCATAAATCCACTCCCACACTTGCCTTCACAATTCCGGCTTTGTGTGCTGAAGAGACAACGCTTGTAATGGGGATACAGTCATTTTCTGCCATTTAGGTTTTTGTGTTTGTCCTTTTTTGTGGATGTGTATTGACTGCTGCTTCTTTCACTGTGCGACCTTGAAGTCCGCACTTGCCTTTTTCTCCTGACATCGACTTTAAAAGGCTTAATCTGGGCTATTTCCTGTACGACCTAGATGATGCGCACAATCGGATTACGGACGCAATTTAAAATGCTACAACCTCGCCGCACGACAAATTATATATTTAGTGGCACTCCATGTGTCTGGGAAGAACCGAAAGGATTCCCATAAAACACCGTGATGGGTTTAATTAAGCTGAAGATGCTGTTTGATGTTTCGCTGCGTCTCACACCTACTGTGTCATTGTTGATTAAGGCTTTTTCTTTGTAACTCATCTGTGATTTGTCTCTTGGCAGCACAGTGAAGGAGTGGTTATCGCTGGTGGCTCACAGCTAGAATGTTTTGTGTAGAGATTTTGATTTGGCTCAGGCTTTTTCTGTGTGGCGGTTGCATGTTCCTCCCGTGTGTCAGGGCGTTCCCTCCACGGTCCACACACAGATAGCTTAGTTTTGAAACGGCATTTAAAACTTTTGTCCTACTTATGGCTGCGCGCCTTTTGAGGGTTTACTGTATTACAAACGAAATGCACAACGCCCATTTTGGAAATGGTTGTTTTGTGTTGTTCACTGTACGGTTGCCATTCGCTTCTAGCTGTGCACCAGGTTCGTGTTTGTTTGCCAATGAGTCAGTTACGACTGGGAGCAACATGCACAAATCGTAGTTTCGTCAAATTTGCTTTTGAATAGCTCAACTTATCAACAAGCTGTAATACGAGCTCAACGAACTAAATAGATATTTTTTTTAATTCCCATGTAAATGTACTGTACAGTCTGCCTTAGCGTGGGATGATCAGTCCCCAGATCTCACGCTTATTCAGTTTCGAGACTCCTGAACCCTCTCCCCTGGAATAGCAGGAATTGACACATTGGTTTCGCCCTTGGTTTTTGTTTTCCCCTTGTAACTTCTTGGCTATTTGTTGTTTTCATTCCAGGTAAGCCGAAGCTTGCTGGCTCCATTGTCACTGGACATTGCAGGTGACCCAGACAGTGAACGCGCATTAGGTAAACAGCGCCTCAGCGTCGCCATCGGTGTCCTGGCAGGAGCCGCGGCTGTCATCCTGGTCATCCTCCTCGTCGTCACAGCGAGGCAGTGTGGTGCTCAAGGCAAGAATGGCTACGAAGCCGGCAAGAAGGAACCGGAAGAAGATTTCTTCAGTCCATCAGGGGCTCAACCGCAGGTCGGCCGTGGCGGCGGATCCGATCGAGGCCGCAAACCTCGACGCGACAAGCGCAATGGAAGCGGTGGTGGCACAGCAGCCGGAGCCGTCAAGTCGGATAGGTCACTCTACAGCGGCATCGTCACTGTCAACGGGCTTCGCCGTCACGCCAATGATGACGAGGAGGAGGATATTAGCAGCGCGAGTGAGCGCCTGGCAGCACGCTACTGCGCTGTGGATGGTGACCCCGGCAGCCCAAGGATGGGCGGTGGCAGGCGCCACCAGTCGAGCCCGGATTTGGCCAGGCACTATAAGTCCAGCTCGCCTCTCCCTGCAGTCAATCTCCAACCGCACTCCCCTCCAGCTGAAGGAAAGAAGCATCAGGCGGTCCAGGAGCTGCCACCCTCCAACACCTTTGTGGGCAGCGGCGGCTGCGTGGGGAGCACCGGTTCCAGCAGCAGCAGCAGCGGGGGCAGCGGAAACGGAGACGCCATGTCCCTGGGATCAGACCAGTGCTCAGAGTATGGCTGCCAGACTGGGAACAAGTACAACAAACAGGTAGAACACTTTGAGAAGGCACTCGCATGACACTTAAACTAATTTGCTTTGACTCTGCTCCCCTTTTTTGTTTAAATTCAAAACCATGCTGGCTGTTGACACTAAGCCACTTCTTTCTGTCTGGCTGTCGTGCTCTTTGTCCACGTCATGCCGCCTGATCGCTGTCGTCTCCTCCCTGGCTTCATGTCTTCTTATTTACACATCAGCTGACATACGGTACCGCACATCCCGCAGCTCACATCTAAACACCGTTTTATCTCCGCAAAATAGCTGCCAGTGTGTGTGTGCAGGCATGCACACAAACACACACACGCACACACACCGGCACACTTATCTACACACACGCGCACGCACGCAAACACGCATTTCAGCATCCTGAGCCCGTGAGCCATGTGTCGGTGCCCTGCTGTCTAAACGTGTGTGCGCTCAGCATCGCGTATTAGCAGGATCTAACACAAGGGACAATGAAGTTGAACCACCACTGAATGACAGTACATGTGAATGCGCATTTTTTTTTGCTTGTATGTACGGTTAACCCCCTGAGGTGTTCAGAGGGTGGACGGCCACAGAGGGAGCGGGCGTATCGTTGCCTCCAACAGGGTAATTGGTCATGTTATTTATTTCATTCTGTCTCGTCAAGCGCTTGTTCTTCTTCACTTTAGATTGAATGTATATTCCTTGAGGCATGCATATGCAAAGCTAGTAAAACCAGTCACAGGATGATGCAGTTAAAAGCCAAAGTCCGGCTGACGAATAAATACTGCATCAAGACCAGCCGAGTCCACCTTCTACCCACACACATAGGCCTCATCTATCATCTTAGATGCACTGACACAGCATGGTCTCACAAGTCCAAGGGGAGTGCTGCTCTGAGTGATGCTTGAGTGACAGCTCAACCCTCTTAAAGGGGCAGCGTCTTGTTTGCGTGACTGACGGCTCCAGATTTATCCTCCCTGTGGTGAAAAAGTGCTGATGTGGTCATTAAAAGAGAACCAGAGGAGCTTCTTAGGCTAATCAATTCATACACAGGACCCACTGATCCTGCTAAACACACACACGCACACACACACACGCACACACACACACACACACACACACACACACACACACACACACACACACACACACACACACACACACACATACACACACACCTGCAGTAGTGCGCACAAAATAATGCACACACACTTATGAGGTTAATCCATTACGGAGTCAATCCTCTTAATCTGCCTTTCCCAGGGTAAGAAAATGCTTACTGGGAGAGTTTTGGTCTTGATGCTTACGTGCACTCAAAACATGCCAGCACACATTGAACGAAGCGCAGACACACAAACTGACAGCGTAATGAATTATTGATTGTACGGAGTAATTAACTCCTCCGCAGCAGCCTAGGGTGCACCATCCA